CTCTTCAACAAATGGTATTGGGAAAACTGCACAGCTACATGCAAAGGATGAAACTGAACCACTTGCTTACAACATACACAAAAATAAACTCAAAGTAAATTAAATACCTAAATGTGAGAACTGAAACCATAAAGTCCTTGAAGAGAGCATAGGCAGTAACCTCTTTGACATAGGACATAGCAACATTTTTTCTGGATATGTCTCCTGAGGGAAGGGAAAGAAAAACAAAAATAAACTATTGGGACTATATCAAAAAAAAAGCTTCTTCACAGCAAAGGAAAAAATCAACAAAACAAAAAGACAACCTACAGAATATAAGATATTTGCAAATGACATATCTAATAAAGGGCTAGTATCCAAAACTCAACACCCCAGATAACTAATATTCCAAGTAAAAATGGGCAGAAGACATAAACACGTATTTCTCCAAAGAAGGCATAGAGTTGGCCAACAGACACATGAAAAGAGGCTCAACATCACTCATCATCAGGGAAATGAAAATCAAAACCACAATGAAGTATCACCTCACACCTGTCAGAATGGCTAAAATCAAAAACACAAGAAACAAGTGTTGGCAAGAATGTGGAGAAATAGAAACACTCGTGCACAGTGGTGGTAGTGCAAACTGGTGCAGCCACTGTGGAAAAGAGTATGAAAGATCCTCAAAAAATTAAAAATAGAATTACCATATGATTCAGTAATTCTGCCACTGGGCATTTACCCAAAGAATATGAAAACACTAATTCAAAAAGATATAAACACCCCATGTTTATTGCAGCATGATTTAAAATAACCAAATTATGAAATTGACCCACGTGTCGATAGATGAATGGATAAGGAAGACATGGTGTGTGTGTGTGTGTGTGTATATATATATATATATATATAATGGAATATTATTTGGTCATAAAAAAAAGAATGAAATCTTGCCATGTGTGAAAGCATGGACGGATGTAGAGAGTATAAGGCTAAGTGAAATAAATCAGTCAGAGAAAGACAAATACCTTATGATTTCACTCATAAGTGGAATTTAAGAAACAAAGCAAACAAAGGAAACAATATTCTCAAATATAGATAACAAACTTATGGGTCCCAGTGGATAGGTGGGTTGGTGGATAGGCACAATAGGTGAGGATTAAGAGAACACTTATCATGATGAGCACTGAGTAATGTATAGAATTGCTGAATCACTGTATTGTACACCTGAAACTAATATAACACTGTATGTTAATTATACTGGAGTTAAAATAAAAATAAAACAATTTAATTTTAAAAAAGAATATGGGTAATTGAGACCCTAATGTTTATGCTATACAAAGCAGTAATTTTCATGACAAGAAACCCATGTCATGCTTTACAGATTCTACCAAAACAAACCAAGTCAAAACAAACAAACAAAAATACATCAATCTGGCTACACAATTAGCGTATGGCATTCTTGAAAGTAAGTTATACATCACAAATCAGGAAAGGACACACTCTATCAGGGAATATCTTTTAAACTCTAATGACACTGTAATAACTATCTGACATGACAATCACCACTTGAACACGTTATTTTAAAGCAAAACTACCAGAATCCTCCATTAATTTCTCCTTATGCCAAAGGAGGAAGAGGAAAATTCCAAAGCTTCTTTGACTAAGAAAAATATTCAAATATTTATACCTCCAGAAATCTGGAGTCCAATATGAATATTATTACCCAGGACAATTGATTTAAATACTCAGAAAAGAAGAACCTCAAATACTAAAGTTATATCCATAGAATGTGGCCATAATTTGTGATGTGCAAATTTTTTTAAACTAGTCTTCTTTATTACAGAAACTTTATAAGGACTTTTTTTTAAGAAAATACTATCAGAAAGGATGATTACAATTATAAATTTTTACCTGAATCCCCATATCAAAGTATAGTTGCTATTTTTGTAAACATTTTTCTCCAGCTTCTTAATGTTCAGAACTAGATACTTCAGATATAATCAATGTCCTTTGATAAGATGTCTTAGAACCTTTTTTTTCCACTGTCAAGAATTTCATTCGCAAATAGCTACTAATTGCCAAGGTCTATACAGACAAGGCTATTGACTGCTTTAGTCCAGAGATTCTCTACTTTGGCAGTATTGGCAGTTGGGGCTAGAAAACTCTTTAGGGGGTAAGAAGGAGCTGTCCTGTATCCTCAGAGGGTTAGCAGTATTTCTGGCCTCTACTCTCTGGATGCCAGAAGCACAGCTGCCTCAGTCACGACAGCCTGTAACATCTCTAGACATTTCTGAATGTCACATGGCAAATGATTACCCCTATTTGAGAACCACTTGGCTAATTGAATTAGAGCCCACCCCTGGGGGTGGATATAAAGTCAGTTTCTGCTGAATATCATGGACTTTATTGTGCAGTGTTGTTTCAGTTACCATGACTCCTAACAAATTACTTCAAAACTTCGTGGCATAAAACAACCACGTTTTATGCTCATGGAATCTGTGGGTCAAGACTTCTGACAGGGTACAGCAAGAGTGGCTTTTCTCTACAATGTCTGAAGCCCCAGCTGGAAGACTTAAAGGCTTAGGGGGAAATGCTCTGAAGGCTTCTCACTCATACATCTAACATTGATGCTCACTGTTGGCTGGAAGACTGTAGCGGCTGGAGGTGTGGCTGGAACATTTACACTCGGCCTTTCCATGTGAAAGCCTGGTTTCCTTACAAAATGGTGTCAGTATTCCTAGGACAAGCATCCCAAGAAAAAGAGAGCAGGATGTACACTGTATTACTTCTTATGACCTAACTCCAGAGTCCTATAGCATCACTTCTAGCATACTCTGTTGGACAAGGCAGTTACAAGGCTGAAGGAGGCATATAAACATCACGTTGTAAGAAGAGCATATGGGTTAGGACAGATATTAGTGGACTCATCTTTGGAAAAAACAGTATGCCACAGAGATGGATAACCCTTGATGACATCTAAGTTCTGTTAGTAAATGAGGAAGGAAATTTGGTTCGGATAGACAACAGTGTTTACTAATGTAATGTTATTTAATAAAATAACCCAAAGAAGAATAAAAAATGTATACCCCATATATATATATATAATATATATAATATATAATTAATAAATTACTTCTAAAGATGATATTATGTAGAAGCTTTACGTTTTAACTACACTAAAATAGTCACATTGAAAATCCCTCCATTGTATTTATTTTAGCATGATATATAAATGAACACGAAGGTGATAATAATATTCCTTGGTAACATGGCTTAATAAAATCTAAGTGTTTAGATGAATTTTTGAGACTCCATCAAATGGATTTAGCAAAAATTGTGGCAGTTTGCCGATGGTGTGAAAGCAATGGCAGAGAACATCACACAAATAATACACATCACACAAATGCATGTTGTCAACGTGCATTTAAGGAGTCATTGCGCCCTACATGGGCAAATAGTAACTGTGACAAGATGATAACAGACAATGAAAGTTGAAGCACCCTGGGTGAAAGCAGAGAGACCCAGAGACTAATTTGCTTGATCTTCTACTTTGACACTTAACAAATAACCCCTGGGATGCTTCTACAGAGCCCAGTTTAGTAACTAGTAATTAGTGTAAAGAGCAGTGAACTAGAAATCAGGAGACCTGAGTTAAAGTCCTGGTTTGGCTAACAGACTAACTTTTCACAAATTGGCTAATCTTTTTTGGGTCTCAGTTTCATACTTTGTAAGTTAAGACAATTGGCATAGGTGATCTCAGAAGCTCTTTTTACTTCTACAAGTCCTTGGCAGCTTTAGGGAAATGTCCAAAAATAGTCAAATAAGCAGTTTCAACTAGTTTCTATTAATTCTGTTACTTCCTAAGTAGGAGGCCATATCTTGTATATGTATAACAGATCCTCCTGTTTTTAAAGGGCTCTAGAAATCTATTTGGGTCCTGTTTTCAAGGAAATTCTGTGCGTACATTTTCATAAAAAGCAATCTTCCAACAGAGGTATAGCTTCTTTATAACTTGTAATGTCAACTTTCATCAAATTCTCCTTGGCTTTAATAATGAGATATGGGAATTGAGGGAAAATAAATGATTAGAAAAGGGGTATGGATTTAACTTTGCCTTGATGGAAATTGAATCCACTGAATATAATTCATTATAAAGGGAGACCTATGAATTGTAAAAGGCTAATCCACAATTTACTACTTATATATGAATTTTAAAGCTTACAAAATAAGGTTATACATTATTTATGAATACATATAAATGGAACAAAGGTAGAAAAGCATCTTCTGGATGCATTTATATCAAATTCATTTTAGTGTTTTTCCCTGGGGAAGGTAGGAGACAATGAGACTGTGGAAGGGAATTAGGAAGCATCTATTTGATACTGATAAAGTTTTGTTTTATTTAAAAACCCAAAGCAATTAATAACAAAACTATTCACATTTATTCATTTGTGTGGCATGCAAATGACAAGGCTATATTATTCTCAGCTTCTTTGTTTAAAAAAAAATGTTCACAAAATAAAAAGATAAAGCAGTATTGAAGAGTCCTGTCAAGAGTTGAGCTGGAGAAAGCTGAGCTGCCAGGTATCCAAAGAGCTGATTAAGGCAACAAGCCAAAATGCAAGTAACAGACAAGCCTTTCATCACTTTTGGTAATAGTATAAGGAAGAAATTAAGCAAGAGAAAGTGATGGCTTCCCCCATTGTTTCTTTTTTACACCATGGAATGGCACCAGGAAAGGGTCAGATGAATTGGCAGACGAGGGGAATCTTCTCACTGCTGAGAGAGCCCTGAGGCTGGGGGCTGGAGGAAAGGCTAAGAATGGAACAGTACTGAGTAATGAGTCAGAGTAGAGAAAAATGTCTTAAAGATCCTTCAAATTAGGAGACCTCATGGTTAGGTACCTATGCTACGAATGCATATATGAGTAGAATCTGACTGTCCAGAGGACAGAATCCCAGCCTGTACATCCCTAAAGAGACTGTAGTGCATCAAGACTATACGTGAGGTCTGGTGTGGGGATGGCAGCTTCTTCTCATGAGGCCTGTCAGGTAAAGACCTTGTTATCATCCATGATTGGCCTGAAAAATGATGTAGAAGCTTTTGACGAGGAGCTGGAGTTTTTGACTCAAGACTCAAATCTCAAAACTAATGGGTTTTCCCACTCTGAAAAAACTCATGTAGTTGAGAAATAGACTATTTAAAAACAATATTTGGAGACTTCAGTACCCTGCTTTCAATAAACAATGGCACAGCTAAGCAGAAGATCGGCAAGGAAATAATATAAACCAGCTGGATCCAGCAGACATTTATAGAATATTCCCCTAAGACAAGGAAGAAGACAGTAATGTCTACTGTTACCAGTTCTAGTAAACACTGTATAAGAGGCTTTAGCCACAGCAGTTAGGCAAGAAAATAAAATGAAAAGGCATACAGGTTAGAAAGGAAGAAGCAAAATTGTCTCTGTTTGCAGATGGCATGATCTTATATAGAGAAAACTCTAAAGAATACACAATAAGACTATTAAATTAATAAGTAAATTCAGCAGGGCTACAAGATAAAATCAACTTGACTTCCATATTTACAATGGACAATCTTAAAATGAAGTTAATAAGATAATTCTGTTTAAAATGCCATAAAAAGAATAAAATATTTGTGAATAAATTTAACAAAAAGTGCATGACTTGTACAGTGAAAACTGTAAAACATCATTTGCAGAGATTTACAAAGATCTACATACATGGAATGCAAAGATTAGAAAGCTTATTAGTATGTCAGTACTCTCCAATGACCTATAGATTCAATACAATGCCTAGAAAAACCCCAGCTATATTGTTGCTGAATTTACCAAACTGATCCTAAAATTTATATGGCAATACAAGAGGCCTAGAATATTTAAAACAATTTCAAAAAGAATGACAAAGTTGGAGGAATCATACTTTCTAGTTTCCCCCACTTACTACAAAGCTTCAGTAATCAAGAGATACCGCATAAGTTACTGGCAAAAGGATAGATCAATGGAATATAAATCAGTGGAACAAATTGAAAGTCTAAATTTAATTCCTTAGATTTAAGGCCAACTGATTTTTTATAAGGGTGTGAAGACAATTGAATGGGGATAAGAAAATCTTTTCAACAAATTATGCTGGAAGAACTAAGATATCCCCATGCAGAATAATGAAGTTGGATTCCTACCTCACACTATATACAAAAATTAACTCAAATCAAGGATGTAAATGTAATCATTAAAACAATAAAAGTCTTGGAAAGAAACACAGATATAAATCTTCATGACTCTAGGTTAGGTGGTAGGTTCTTAGATATGATACCAAAGCAATAAGATAAAATAGATAAGTTGGATTTCATCAAAATAAAAAAATTTGTGCTGCAAATGATACCATCAAGGAAGTGAAAAGAGAGGCTCCTGGATGGCTCAGTGGGTTAAGCATCTGATATCAGCTCAGGTCATGATCTCACAGTTTGTGGGTTAGTGAGTTCAAACCCTGCATCAGCCTCTGTTCTGACAGCTTAGAGCTTGGAGCTTGCTTCGGATTCTGTGGCTCCTTCTCTCTCTTTCTCTCTTTCTCTCTCTCGCTCTACCCCCCCCCCCACTTGTGTGCTCTTGCCCTCTCTCTCTCTCTCAAAAATAAACATTTAAAAAAATTAAAAGAAAGTGAAATGAAAAAAATAGAATGGGAGAAAATATTTGCAAATCATACATCTAGTAAGGGACTCGTATTCAGAATATGTGATGAACTCCTATAACTCAATAATAAAAAGACAGAAAACCCAATTTAAAAATGAGGAAAGCATCTGAATTGACTTTTTCCAGAGAGTATATACAAATGGCCAATAAGAACATGCAAAGATGCTTGGCATCTTTAATCTTTAGGGAAATGCAAATCAAAAATTGTAGGCTACCACCGCATACCCACAAGGATAGCTGTAACGGGCAATAACAAGTGTTGGCAAGGATGTGGAGGAATTGGAAACCTCGCATATTGCTGGTGGGAATCTAAAACAATGCAAGTCATGTTCTAAAAACAGATTGGAATTTCCTCAAAATGTTAAACACAGAGTTACCATATGACAACAATTCTACTCCTATGCATATAACCAAGAGAAATGAAAACATGCTCTTACTAAAACTTGTTTCTAAACATTCACAACATTTTTCACAATAGCCAACAAGTAGGAACAATCCAAATGTTTATCATCTGATGAATGGATTAACATAGTACATTCATACAATGGAATATTATTCTTCAATAAACAGGGGCGAAGTGCTGATATATGCTACAGCGTGGATCAACCTTGAAAACATTACACCAAGTCAGAGAAGACAGTTTAGGAAGACCACCTATTGCATGATTCCATTATAGGAATTTTTCAGAACAGGCAAATTTATAGAGACCGAAAGTAGATTGCCCAAAACAGAGGACAAATGGAGAGTAACTGCTACTTGGTATAGGCTTTCTTTTTGGGGTGGTGAAAATGACCAATAAATGATCATGATAATGGTTGTACACCTCTGTGAACAAAGTGAAAAACGTTAAATTGGATGGTTATTTAAATGAATGTATGTTATGATATGTGAATTATATTGCACTAAAGTTGTTTACAAAATTCACAGCAACTCTTATTTGAATAATAACAGTGTGGTTTATGTTGAACTAACATTACCACACATAATAATTAGAAACTCTGGACAATATATAACAACCTTACTATTTGAAGGTATTGGAAAACTACCCAAAGCAGGCAGAAACTGGAAGGAATTTAACCCTTGGAAAACAGAACTGCACTGGATGGGGTCCATATCATTTGACTTTCCCTGAGGACACACCCCAGCTGATGCAGTAGATCTGGGCTAGAATTCAAGCAAACACCTGAAATCTAGTTGTCATGAAGTGTTAAAGTATAGATTTCAGTTCTGCTAGAGAAGTTCAAAATTGAAGGGATACATTGTCACAATGAGAAAGCCATAGGAGGGGGATGTGTCAATCTGAGTCCAAAATGGAGCGAAACTATAAATGAATTTAACAGTGGAAATTTAATATGGTTATTAAACTATGACAGGGAGGTTAAGTATACAGATATAAAGAGAACTCTAAATGGCATCCTGGGGCTGAGGGGAAGTGCCCAAGAAAAGACAAACTTGGAAAAGAGTTCCATCCCCAAGGCAAGAGCTTTGTATTTGTTTGTTGGTTTTTAAGTTTATTTATTTATTTTTGCAAGGGGTGGTGGGGAGGAATCCCAAGTAGGCTCTCCATTGTCAGCACAGAGCCTGACTTGTAGCTCAAACTCACAAACTGTGAGATCATGACCTGAGTCAAAAGCAAGAGTTGGATGCTTAATCAAATAAGCCACTGAGGGCTCTCTCCACAGCCTCCCCTCCACCCTCTGCAAGAGAGGAGTTTAGACCTTGTTGTAGAAGGTATGGCTGCAGCCTACCAGATGAGAGAAAAATGTACTGGGTTCCCCAGGAAGTGCTGGTCCACAGTGGCCAGGAAAACAAGGAAGTACCTTCTGGGAGCCAGGAAAACCAAGGCTAAAAGGCAAGTGTGCAGAAAATAAAGGCTTTTGGAGCCCACTCACAGATTGGGCAGCACTTGGGCACAGACTGCCAGACACAGGAAAGCAAGGCCCAACTATATGCTGTTTACAAAAGATGCACATTAGACAGGATGAAAAGTAAAATGATTGAAAAAGATATACTAAGCATAAGAAAATTGGAGTGGCTCTGTTAATGACAGACAAAATAGATTTCAAATAAAGGGATATTAACAGAGATAAAAAGGTACATTTCATCATAATAATAAAATTGTCAGTTCATCAGGAAGACATGACAATCCTAAACAGGAATTCAATAAATAACAGAACTTTTAAGATACATAAAGTGAAAAAAAAGAAAAACTTAAAAAATGACTAAGTGAATTCACAATCGAGTCATATACTTTTATATTCCTGTCTTGACGACAAATAATATAACTACACATATACACATAAAAATCGGTTAAGATTATAAAAGACATAAAAACACTTGGCATAATTGCTATTTATAGAACACTACACTCAACAATGGGAGAATACAAATTCTTTTAAAGTACATGTGAAATATTCATCAAGATAGTCAAGTGCTATGCCAAACAGTAAATCTCAATACATTTTTTAAAATGGATATCATAGGGGTGACTGAGTGACTCAGCCAATTGAGCATTCAAATCTTCATTCTGGCTCAGGTCATGATCACAGAGTCCTATGACCAAGCCCCTTATTGAGCTCCATGTTGAGTGTGGAGCCTGCTTAAGGTTCTCTCTCTCTCCATCCATGTCTCTCTCCCCCTTCTCCTCTCCCCTGCTTATGTGCTCTCTCTCTCTCTCTAAAATAAAATATAAAATAAAATAAAATAAAATTTAATTAATTAATTAAGTGGAGATCATATGATATACATTCTATGAGTTCAGTTGAGTGAAATAAGTAATCAATAATATAGTGACTTAGAAAGCCTCAAATAATTGAAAAGTAAACAATGCCTAAAAATCCAGTTTGTAAAATAAGAAAATCACAATGGAAATGAGAAAATATTTCAAACTGAATGATAAGGAAAATACAAGATATCAAAATTACTTAGATGCAGTCAAAGACATGCTTATAGGGACATAGGATTATATGTTAATGTAGAAACACTATGTAGAAACAAAATATGATTCATGCTTTCACTTTACAAATCTAGAGAAAGAACAAAGTCAACATACGTGGAAGAAAGGGAATAATAAAGATAAGAAGCTATTAAATAGAAAACAACAATTAAGAAAACTAACAAAACCAAGAGCTATTATTTTATTCTGAAAATAAAGTTGACAGGGGCACTTATGTGGCTGAGTTGACTGAGCGTCCAACTTCAGTTCAGGTCATGATCTCACAGTTCAGAGTTTGAGCCCTGTGTTGGGCTCTGCTGACAGCTCAGAGCTTGGAGCCTGCTTGGAATTCTGTGTCTCCCTGTCGCTTGGCCCCTCCCCTGTTTGCAGTCTGTCTCTGTCTCTCAAAAATAAATAAACATAAAAATAATTTTTAAAAAAATAATAATAAAGTTGACAAATCCCTAGCAAGATTGATCAAGAAAGTAAAGAATGCACTAGTTACCAATATTAGAAATTAAAAAGAAAAGATCACTGAA